AAAAAAAAAAAAAAAAAAAAAAGAAAACTCTAGTATCATCTCCGCTCCTCGTTCTTGACGTTCTAACAGGAAATTCCGCTCCGTTGATGGAAGACCTCGTGGTCCGACGTATAAGGACGACACTGGTGACCAAAAAGAAAAGAAAAGGAAGCAAAACACAAAACGATCCAAGATCCGACCACAGAAACATTCCAAAGGAATAACTGATCCTGTAGCCGGGAGTTTCTAGTAACACCCAAGGACGAATCCATTTTATACCTTTGAAAAGCATGCAATTGTTCGTACACGCCTAATTGAAGACTCCTCAAACCATCCAGCCGAGGACAGACCTAAGATAATAAGCTCTATTAAGCCAAACGATCCAACTTTCCATCAATATAATACTAAATCCACATATTCTCACATTATCAGCGATTTGACGTATTGAAATAATGCATTTCATATAGAAAAATGTGAAAAATCGTAACGCGGTCAATTCTCCTTCGATTGGTCAGCCATTAAGCCAAGGACACGTCAAACTGCGGCAAAGTCCTCCCAACGTCGCCTTCCCATTAGTCATCCTAGCCATAGGATGATCGAGTCCCGTAGTGTTTTTTGGTGTTATCCCAGAAGGGAAGACGAAGCACCACGATGCTCGGCAGAGAAGATATCAGAACGAGAGGGTGACGGTGTGTCGCGTCGTAGTCGAGTATTTCTCTTGGGTGGGTGAGTAAGGGGGTGGGAGTGGGTGGGTGGGTGGTTAGGTGTGACGCACCAAACTCAGTGCCCCGCGCGTCGTTCCGCCCCTGTGTTTACAGATTCATATCCCCAACAACGTTCTCCACTCGGGTCGGCAGGCTGGCCGGCCGGCCGGTCGGTCGACCAGCCGACCAGCGAAGTCTCCCCCGTCGGCTTTATCCCCTCTCTCGAGGTCGTAATACGGCCCGAGCCACGAGCGAAGGTTACTCGGTGTGGGCTAGGCAGAGACCCATGCCAGGTCGCTGTATTGACGCGCGGCGTTCAGGCTTGCGCGAGATGACGCAATATATACCCTCTTCCCACTAAGTCCCCTCACTCTCCGTCAGTCCCTCCCTACTAACTCCCACCACAGCTACCTCCATCCCTCCCGTCTCCTCCTTCGTCTCCTCACTGCTTCTCCAGCTCCTCTCGTTCTGGTCCTACCAGAGACCACCAAGCGAAACCCCACCGTCGCCATCTGGCACTGGCTTCTCCCCTACTTCTCCATCAGCCCCCCACCAGGATCGTCCGGCGCTCCTGGTCGCCCCCCCCCCCCCCACTACCGCTCTGCCCCTCCGCCGTCGACTGGCACGCACTCTCTCGTCCCTCGTCCGCAAGTTCAATGCCAAGGTCAAAGCTGCCACGGCTAGCTGTCGCTCGCGGGACTCGCCTCACGGCTGCGCGAGAACGCTCGTACGGATCGCGCCTCCCTTTTTCTCCGTTTGTTTCGCACTTTTCGTCGCGCGGACTCTTCGGCTCTCTTGTAATAATCTCGTTCTCCTACGGACCCGTGTCATGGCTTCCTCCGCGCCCCACGGCCACTCCGTGACACCCTCGGAGCAGCACAGACTGGAACAGTACTCGACGACGCTCCTGGAACCTCGAGTCGTGCCACCGCGGAAGACGCGCATTCTCACCGCTCGCAACTGGTTTATACGGTTTTACTTTCAGTTTCATAATTATTTATTCGTCTTTACCGGATCGCGTCGCGCGTCTACTCCGTGGTTAAGTTCGGCATGGATCTCGAGTCAGAACGGGGCTGTCTCGACCTCGCGTCATCAGTCTGCTGCCGCAGCCCTCTGGACCTGCTAAGCTATTATAGCGACCGGTGACATTGACTCGTCGAAGTGGACACTCTGACCAGTTAACTTATCTATCTACTTACCTGTCAACACTAACGATCCTTCATCGCTGGTTGACCACCGCCTATCTGTGTCTCCCTTTACCTACTTGCGCAACGGCACCTCACAGTGAGTATTATTCGTACGCAGTACTGCGTCCTTAAAGCTTCGAGGTCGCGTGGGTGCGCCCTGTCAAGGTCGTCACGACCTTTACACGCTGACCCGCACTGTACAGTGCGTTTCAATCGACGTGGATCGAGTGCCCACATACATACGGACTAGGACCTGCCGCTGTGTAAACTCTGCACGAAACGGCGTATACGCTTTAGTTCGGCTGTCACTCTACAGAGGGTAGTTCAATTCGTCAATTTTCAAACGAAAGGATGGGTCGAAGGGGGTGGCTACCAGGGATTTCAGTAGATATAGAAATAGGCGATCCTCAGTGGTACGTGGCGCACCTACGTCCCTCTTTTTTTCTTCCATACATCTATACGTAGAAAAGTGGAGAGTGGGCGGGAAGAGTCCATTCTTGAACTCGAGGGAATACGTGACTCAGAATCTCTGACGCAGAATTTCAACTAGCGACACACGCGCACCTATGCAGGCGACGTTGCGTAACGTTGGACTCTGCGTTGCGCGATGCGACTGCACAATTTAGCCAGCCCTCCTCGTCATCCGCCACCACTGCCCCTCCCCTCCCCTCCCTTTACACCCTTATCGATGTATTTCCACTCTTTGACGAACAACTCTGCCGATTCTCGTGGCTGCCAGCGCAGCCGGATGAAATTACCCGCACTCTCTCTCTCTCTCTCTCTCTCTCTCTCTCTCTCTCTCTCTGTCCTCTATTATTGGATCGTTCGAATTCCTGCATCCTCCTTTGCTTTCCCTCTCTCTCTCTCTCTCTTAAAGAAAACGAAAAAGCCTGACTTGATCCTTTGCCAAAAGAGTGCCGGACATACCGAGCATCGTCTTTCAATACTTCTGATACTCTCTCCCGTGGCTCAATAATTTCCTTTCTAAGGCCCTCCCCGTTACCGATACGACGGTCTTTTGTCTCGCCAGTACTGTAAACAAGCCCCCTCCATCCGTCTCTCTCTCTCTCCTCACTCTCTACCACCCATATTCTTCATTCACTCTCTCAACATCCTTAACTGTATACTTGCAGGTGACAAATTTCGTCTGGTCTTGGCTACTACGCTGAGGGAAGATGGCTATCCGGACGGAGGTGACTGGAACGCCATCGAACAGGAGGGTGGTTCCAGGGCTGACAGCTTTGAGTACGTGATGTCGGGGAAGGTCTACAGAATAGAGGGCGACGAAGCCAGTAACGAGCCAAGCAGCAGACTGTAAGTTGACATTTTACATTGGACTGTCCTATATTCGTCCTCGGTTGTTTTGTCTTTGTTATTTTTTTTATCTATTTTCTCTTTCTCTCTGTATCTATATTGTTAGCTTTTCTTTTATATACATATGTTTATTCGATTTTCCTCGTCGAGCAAGAGACATTTCTTTTGCGTATTTTTCATAAATACTCACAGCCGTGCACGTGCTCTACACGTGTTATACGTGACGAACCTGTCTATGCATGCACGTAAATACGTGGCTCGTGTTGCGTCACTCTCACTCTGTCCGCAACTGGCGAATCGTAGGACTCTGTCGTTCCCTCTTGTTGTTCAATGTATTCGTGAAGTTTCGTTTCCACACGAGGATATCCGATCTGTCGAAATCAAAGTCTCCGCTTCCTTGACGAAAGAGACCTTTCGTCGTCGTTCTCACGAAAAACTTTTACGCTCGTCGTTCAAGGAACGACGGCGGACATACGTCCTGCGACCGATGAGATTGTTTTCTTTGTAAAATGGGGTAGGATT